CGGCCAGGGCTAGCGTTGGCCCGTCTGCAGCGGCAGGGCTAACATTAGCTCGTCTGCAGCTCTCTCTGCATAGCTGTGTGTAAAGGATCGCTGGCTCTGATGGAGGTTTTTTTGACAAAACGTTAATTTGATTTGTGTTTATTTGACAGTATTAATCATTATTCCTCCACTAAATGCAAAAAACTAATGATTTATATCTATATTCTATTAATAACAGGAGGTGAAATGCAGCTCCAGACTAGCATAGTGTGCGGTGATGTCATCAGTACGCTTCTGTTCCAATTGACCCAGATTTATTCTGTGTGCTCCCGTTCTCCCAGAGTCCAGACTTTCCTGTGTTCTTCTGAAGAACAGGCTTGGCGAGAACACGAGCTCATACTCGTGCTCTTGTGAATTGAGAAACAGCCAAATCTTGGTGGATTTTATCTGACTAGCCCCCAAAATCCCCCCTAAAGCCGCCATGATGCCTTTTGTTCCAAGAACGGCAACATTTAAGGTCAATCAGACACTTTTCATTAATAACTAAAGATTCCTGCAGAAACCTGCTTCCCTTCAGGGATCCCAGAGGGAATGAGGTGAAATATAAATGCCAGCCACACCTTTCAGCTTCATTTTGTATCTACTGATTAAAAAAAAAAAAAACAGCCTCATATTTCTTTGACCTCACATTTCTGCACAATTATTAACTAAGACAAAACCAAAGGTGCAAAGGGTGTAAATCCTTTAACTAGGCCCTGATTATTGGTCTTACCTTGACCAGGTGGGGTCGTACTGTTGTGACCAGGGAGGTGTAGTTCTCCACCACGGGGGGGAAGCCCACGGTTAGCTTGGCCTTGCAGAAACCAGAACGCCGGAACACCACGTCTGACTTCTTACACCAGGGAACGAAGTGGCGGTAGTTTTCCACCTGGGCCACCACGTCATAGATCTCCTGCATGGAATACCTGGACAACAGAGAGGGGAGGGGGGTCAGTGCCTGGGTGACGCAACGCCAAACTGAGCGGGTCTGTGGAAACTCATGAGCCACGCCTCTGAATGAGGTAAGAGGAGCAAGGAGGCAGATTCTGTTACAGAGCTCTGACGTAGAGCTAGGACGTGCAGAATGGGGGTCAGACAATGTCCAGCTGTCACCTGCTGTGTGTCTATTTATACCTGCATGTTTAGTGATGACGGCCTCTGAGTGGAACACTGAGTGCTTCACTTAGTTTTCCTGCCATTTATTCTGAGAGTTCAACCTGTGAAGGACGGAAAGCTGACAGCTCCTCGTTTACGTTTCAGCTGCCGCCCTCCACCCATCCCCCCCAGGCCTCCTGCTGATCTATAATACCCGTTTCCCAGTGACATGTTTAAACCCGGGAACAATCTGCTTTTAGTGGCAGTGGGAGCAGCTCATGGATGCGTGTCTACGCGGGTCAAACGACTCAGCGAGCCACGTTAGAATCGCCTCGGATCTGCGTGAGCTTTGGTGGCGCAGCGGTTATTTCATCCCAGTGCTGCGTGTCCCGTGACATCATCAATGACCCCCCCACCATGGACTGTTCTCCCTGCTGCCCTCTGGGAAGAGGCTAAAATCCGACCTCCTTTGCCACATGTCTCTCTCCCTCTGACATAATGCGTTTCCTGTCTGCCTACTATCGAAAAAACTCCAAAAAAAATAAAAAATAAATTAATAAATTGATTCAGAGAAGTCATAAAAATTTTTTAAAGATGTGTATTAGCATTCTATAGAGTTAAAGATAGAAATAAGTAATTTTAGAACCATAATTACACATTTATGGACACCTGCATGCATATCTGGTTGCGTAAATGATGTTACGGATCGGGTAGTGACCCTCTCCATCGTTTACTTTCCTGATTTCTGTCGCACTGGTGACATCATCAACGCTAACCCAGCGTTATGGCGTAAACAGACACGCAGCGGCCAGCGAGGGGTTAGACCAACTTTTTTTCCCCAGCGTAAAGGGAGAGAAATGCTGATTTCTAGCCGATCGACCCACATTTGAAAACCTTTTTTTATTTTTTTTGACTTAGACAAACTTTATTGTCGTTTTGTAAACACAGAGTATACAAAATGAAATTTCGTTCCGTACAGCTCTCAAGACAATTCCATTTCTTAAAGTGCAGCAGTGATAAAATGTAAACATGGTGATCAAATGTAAACATAAGCATTATTGCACTATTTTTTAGTGGGAAACAGGCTTGACTAATTTTTACATTTATTTCCCAACAGGGTTGGAAGTTTCTTCCGGAATGTGTTTTTTTATCCAGGAATCTTCCATATTTGCTAGTAGTTAGGGCATAGAGCTTGGAATCCAGAGGTTCTGAGTTCAATCCCCACAGACTGCCACTCTGGGTCTCTGAGCGAGACCCTTAACCCCAAACTGCTCCCTGGGCGCCGCACCATGGCAGCCCACTGCTCCCAAAGGGGATGGGTTCAATGCAGAGAGTTCATATCGTTGCTCTGTACTTGTGACAGTGGAACGATAATAAAAATGACAATAAAAATAAATAAAGAATAAAAAAATAAAGAGCTGGGTTTGTGGGCATGAACAGCAGAAAAAAAGCCAGCTGCTGTAATCTGAGCATACAAGAAAACGTTTTCCTACCATTTAAAAGCTATTAGTAAATGATCACTTGTATTAAATATGTAATTCCCTGATTGGTTATGAATTCTTAATCACTGTTTTTATTCTCATAAAGATGTCTCCTCGTGCAGCCTGGTGGATGTAGTGAGTTGACTTTTCCTTGGAACGTCCCAGTTCTCCAAAATATGATCTATTATCAGGACTTTCTTCCACTTTCTTCCGGAAGGGAAAAAAAACTTTTCTTCCAGTTTCTTCACTTGTCTGGAAGAAACTCATTTCCCGTTTCTTGAACCTGACTTGGCCCCTATGAGCCACCGTTCCTTCCAAAGCATAATTGAGGATCTTCAACAGGCTGCTGTTCCTTTATGCACAGACAGAGTTGGGACGGCCGGCGGGCGGACTGGAGGCTGGAAGGTTTCTGCGTTCTTTAACTCTGAGAACAAATGTTCCTCTTTCTGTGAATCCAGCAGGAGGCCGAGTGGATTTAGAGGAACTCTCCTTAAACAAACCGTAAACACTTTCTGGGTAAAAGGTGATTCTGATGCTTCCTTTGGAAATTCCTCCGGCTCACGCAGAGGCCCCCACCCCCACCCCCTCTCTGTCAGAAACAAGCGGCGCAGCGCATTCTTTAACGACGGAGTTGCTTCTCTACACAGAAAAGCAACTAGTTTCCAAATATAGTAATGTGCAGCAGAAATTCCTCTGATTCTCTCCTCTTTCCTGTAATCAACCTGGCCTGGCCTCCAGCAGCAGCGGCTCCTCGGGCATGCCATCTAAAATTAGCTGCTCAAAGGTTTCTCTTTTTTGAACCACTTAATGTTTGGAGAGAAACAGCAGAAATTAGGTGTAGTTCATCTAGAATCAATGTGCTAACGGCTGGAACGTAATTCAGCCTTAGCGGAACCAACAGGTCCCAACTTTTCTGTAGTTTACATGAATATCATCTAAATAAACCGAGTCATTCTAACTGCTCTGATGAAGGGCTGATGACAACAGCTTTAATGGTGGAATAATTAAAAATAAGAGAAACAAATCTGGGCTCCCGTTAACGTTCAAGGTACCACCTAATGCTGCCTGAAGCCCACAGACTGAAAAACGTCTGCCAGAAAACAGCAGATGGTGTCAGAGCCAACGTACCCGATGATGCGTCTCTCTGAGTACTCCTTCCTCTTGGACAAGGAGTCTGTGAGGTTGAAGAAGCTGCGCGCCGGCAGGACGACGGCCCGGCCGGGCATGGCTGCTGCGCCCAGCAGAGGAGGCGCACGCGTCATCAGGATCCCGCAGGATGACAGGTATCTAAAGGGCAAACAAAGACATGGAGGGCAGAAGGTGAGTCTCGGAGACAAAGTCACACTTTCAGTTTGTTCGATTTGCCCCCGACGCAACCTCCGATAAATCAATGGCTGTCAGCAGAAACAAGCAGTAAACAAACTTTCATTCCATCCCAAATTCCACCGTTACGCAACCAGAGATACGGAGAAACATCACTGATTACACAGAGCCTTTTAGATTCTCTGGTTATCCTGGCTGAAGAATAAACAGTCAGAAAACCTTAAACTTTAGATTTGTTGACTGTGAAAACATGTCATATCATTTCAAACTTCGACAAAGAATCCTTTCAATACACAAAGTGAACAAAGAAGGAGCTTTTCTGAAATAACGACCACATTCTGACACTGATTATCGATGTTCATCACCTAGATGTGCTGACAGCTGCTGTTAAGGCCCCTAAATCAGAAAACGCTCCAAGATCAGTCAAGTAAGGCTGAAACCAATGATTATTTTACAAATCGATTAATCTGTTGATTATTTATTCAATCAACAAGCAGATAGCCAAAGGTTCCTCAAAGAAGATTTTTTAATGAATTCAACCAGGTGAAACTAAAACGTTTCCACTTGAGGAGTCCTGGATAGAGGAGATTGACAGAATGAAAAAGGTTATTTTTCCTGTTTTTTAAATTTTTTAAATGCAAAAAGTTTACATATATTTTTACATTTTTCTTATAATTACAGCTGGGGCTGAAACAATTTTTAGAATTAATCGTGATTAATCGATTATTGAAATAATCGTCAACTAATTTAGTAATCGATTAATCGTCAATTGGAGTGTAGAGCCTCTACAACAAGCCTTTAGCTGAGCAACCAACCTTGAGTAGCAATTATACCAACATTAAAAAAAAAAAATTATGTAAACATTTTGCATTTAAGATCATCTTTTTCGTCTGTCAGTATGCTCTATCCAGAACTACTCGGGTGGAAAAATGTTTGGTTTAGCTAGTCTTCTTTAAGAAACCTTTTGCTCTCTGATTATTAATCGATTCATCGGAAAAATTATCACCAGATAAATCGATTTGCAAAATAATCTTTATTTGCAGCCCTAATTACAGCTCTGTCAGCTAAAGGCACGTTTTAGAGTCTCTAAACTCCAGTTAACAAAAAAGTAAACCCACCTCTCCCCAAACACCACTAACTAGATCCGAGATGAACCAACAAATCAACCAAAGACTGGATCACGCTGCTGTGCCATGATTGGTTTCCTATGGTAGCATGTTTTTTTTTGTCCAATTCATTAAATATAAGAACAAAAAAAATCTCTCAGCATTTTTAGGCTACAAATGCTCCAAAGTTTTTATTTCCAAACCATTAATGATCTTTATTACGTTGGAAGAGAAACTGAAGGTTTCAAAGTTTCCAAGAAACATCTCAGGCAGCTACTGCTGAGCACTGTTACTCAGCTGACTGAAAGAAAGGTGCTTCTCTTTTTAATGCTTAGAGAAACAATCAGTTAGGTTGTTCAGATATTTTTCTGACCACAAAGCATCCGACTTTATGCTTTTTCTGAGCCAAAACTCTGAAAAGTGCAGTTCCTTTGAAGACCCCAAACATCCTGGACACTTCCTGATTAGATGTTTCCCTTTATGCTGACGCTACAAAGAGCCGTTAGGAAAACAAAGCAAAAATGTCTATATAAGTATATTATGACATAAAAAATATATTTTTTCTTCTCTGACATTTGTTTTCTGACCACATGTTAATGAAGAGAAAAGGGGAACTTTGTGTGACAGAGTTAAAGCAGATTAACTGTATTTTATGATGCGTAAAGAGGCCGGTGCCCCTAAATAAAACGCTGTTGATGCAGCAGCAGATATAATGACTGCATGCGGGTCCCAGAGCCAGCAACGCCCCAGCAGCTGTGTGAAGACCCACTTAATGCCAGATAGTGAAGCTTAAAGAGTTAAAAAAAATAAATCAGAAGGAGCTGTGGCTCCAGAGGCTGGAATGTCTTCACAATAAAGCGTTAACAGGAAGTGGATGCATCGCAGGAAGGAGCGTCCCACTGACCTGGACTATTCGCTGATGTTTGTGTTCTGCACTGACAGGCTGCTGATCACTAAGCTGCTTTAGTCTATTACATAAGAAACCAATGACGGATAAATATATAAGTAGTTGGAATAATTAGGCGTGCTGAAATCTAATAAAATGTTTGAGATTCTTAGTTTGATGACCTGAGGTAAAAATATCTGCATTTCATGAACTTTTTTGTCTTTTTGTCAACACTAAGTAAAACTACCAGCTATAAACACGACTGATCTTATTTTACACTAAATAAGCAGCGATGATTAAAAGCTCTAACAGTCATAAAACTGTTTTTTTAAGTCGCCTTTTTTAATTAGTTGCTGTTTTATTAAATAGATCTGCTTTAGCCGTTTCTCTCGGCTGAATGTTCTCAGTGACAAACAGTAGAAAAGTCACAGACGTCATCATAAGTCCAGTAATTACAGTTGCTTGTTTTGATCACATTAGAACTTTTTGTTCTAACACCAGAAACCTTGTCTTTTCCCTCCAGGTTATCAGGCTGTGAGGTTTTCCATACTGCTGAGAGTAAAAATAAAGCTGCACCCGGCTTTCATGGCCGCCCTTGTCTGGTTTTAGTGTTTAACATTCAGGCAGTCCCACGTAGAAACGAGGCCAAGGAGCCGCGCTTTATAGTCAGCTTTATGAGGCCTACGTGACACAGCGGCCAAACATTTCCATCCACTTAGAGCTGCTTTCCCTAGAGGCCAGAGCTTCAAAATAAATCATTTGGATATTTCTGCATCAGTTGGATTACAACTAATTTATACTGGAAAGAATGACTGCCAGCCTCTTTGATCCAGCATGCTAACCGCTTCGAGAACCTTTCACCAACTTTTTAAAATCTGAAAGGTGCAGCGGTGGAGCAGCTGGCTCCATATTATTCAAATCCAAATAAGATGTGTTACGAGGCGCAGCAGTGGTGCAGAACAAACCATGTAGGGAGGCTGCTCACTGATGCGACGGTTACAGGTTCGAGTCCGGCTAGGTACCAGACCTGCTCTGGGCCCTGCCCTTTCTTATGATGTCATCATATGGCAACTCCACTCGAAACAAACTATAATCCACCTGTTTCTTAAGAATCAGATCTCTTCCGGAGTCTCTACATATTATTACCCAATTTGCTATTATTTTCATTTCAGTGACCATCTAAAGTAGCCGAAAGTAGAAAACAATCATTGTCCGTCTTGAAGGAAAGCACTGCCTTCTAAGTCAGACTGAGCTCTGCTATTTAACAAGGTGACACAAAAAGTCTCAGCTTATTTTTATTCTATTTATTAAGATCTGAGGGCAGAGGAGGACAAATAGAGCATCTTAAAAAAAACGATTTTAGACAAAGAAAACAGATATTCTTGTTGTAGAAACGAACAGTTGTTTTTGACACAAAGTTAAAAGTAGTGTAGCTTACTATGGCTAACTGACTGAGCTAAAATAGGCTAACCTTGTCATTACCCGATCCGTACCATCAGCTCATTTGTGCGTGCGCGAACAGAATAACTTCCGGTGGCAATATTTCCTTTTTCTTACTTTTTTATTCTTTTGTATTTTTTAGAGGCATTGGTTTCTTTTTGTATATCTTTGTATTTTCGTCAATATTGCATTTTCTAAAAATAAAAAACAGAAATACATAAAAAAGTTCAATCGCCTTGTGATAGTTACTTTGACTGCTCTGAGCATGCGCAAATATACGTCACACAGCGTATATATTTACATTTTTTTAAATATTTGATTTACTCTGTACTTAACGATGCACTCCAGCAGTACTGATCCCACAATGGATTAATTTGCTACCTTTCGTGACCTGCAGTTTTTCATAATATATTCACAGACTGCTCTTAGCATGTTTGATGATGACGTCAAGCAATACAATGGATTGAATTTAAAAAGCATCCATTTCTTCCAGAAAAGTCTTCAATATTGTCTTTACGATGTAGTTTAGTGTTCTTTAATTATTTAAGGATATAAATAAAGTTTTTTCAGTTCCGTAATTACATTATGTTTTGGCGACCCGGAAGTTATTCTGTTCGCGCAGGCGCGAATGAACTGATGGTACAGATCGTGCTACCGGTACGGATCGGGTAGCGACAAACCTGTTAGCTTCTGAGCACAGCTAACCACAGCACTACCGTGGTCGTGCAGTTACTTTGTTCACCATAAACAGATATTTTCAGCTTTGTTATCAATCAGGTAAAAGTTTATCGGTCATTAGACACGCTAACTCTACCGATGCTCCCGACTCGGCACACTGACGCTGCGTTATTATCATTGTCTGGGCAACCGAAATGTTTTATGTCCTGTGGCAACGTTCAGCCAATCATGTGGCATAACATCACTGGCCTAAAGCAGGACCCGAGCATCTGCCTGTTGAACTTTGCCCTCTCTCTAGTCCCATTTCCTGTCTGCCTACTTTCAAGAACAATAAAATAAAGGTCACTGCAGCCTTTGTGCAAATTAAGCAAAGCCTAATGCCATCATGTGTTTAGGTTACTTTTGGCTGCAACAGACCGGAAGTAGAGGTAGGAAGCTAGCGCAGACCCCAGATCAGTAACGGACAGAGGCGTTAAGGAATGTGTTGGAACCAGCCAGGGTGTTTAGACTTGATCATGTCAGCTATATGGACAGATATGTCAGGCAGGCGATATCTGAGTAAGGTTGGAAGATCAGACAAATCCATCAAACACTGAGGATAGACACCGCCCTTCTACTTTTTTGTTTTGTTTTTAAAAACGATGATTTTTGTTTCTTTTTTGGACCTACAGGTTCAGAGGCAGCCCACAAAAAAATAAAAATGCTTTTCCATGGTACACACAAGCTCCTTCCAGCTGCAGCTTTGTTCCCGTTCCACCGCGCAGATTTATCTACTTAAGCTTAAGACAGAAAGAAAGAACCGATCCAAACTACAGACTAGCTGTTTATTTTATTTTTTTGTTGTAAAACAGCCGAACCAGAGAGAGGCGGGTTTTTTTAAAGTATGTTCACAGGCCGCTCCGTCTGTTACAGATTTGACAACAAATACAAAATTACACAGAAAAAATAAATAGATAAAAATTATCTCTGGAAAATCTCCGCCCCAGTTTTTAATCCGTTTGATTTTGCACATACAGAAACGATAAAAAACTATAATGTCTCATAACATAGAACAACTGGAGAAGAGGAAACTGGATTAAACTAACTTTTTTGACAAGAAAACAAGCATTTTTACCTTTTGGGTTTATCAGTGTGTGCAGGTGGTTAACAATATTAGCCGCGGTTCAGACGACGCGCTCTGAAGGTGTACTCGTCTCTGCACACAAAGTCACCTCCACCGATACGTCGTCCATTTGCTGCACTGACGGATATCGGTTGACATATCAGCCAACCTTAATCTGAGTTGTTTTTTTCCGTGTATCAGCCGATCTGCATGCCTTCAACCCGTCAGTGCAGCCATGTCTCCAGGTCATGGAGAGCATGTATTGCTGCTTCCTCCATTTGTTTTCCATTGCTAATGTGTTGGGTCATTTTAATCACATAAAGGGAGGAAAATAAAGCAAAATCAGCTTAAAAAAAGAAAAGAAATCGGCAGCAAATATCGGCATTCAAAATTATCAGTATCGACTTTTAAGAACCCGCATCAGTTGATCTACAGTCAGAATTTATTCAACAAATATTCTGCTCCCAAAGTCTGGATTCACCCCCATTCCCAGCACTGAAACTGATAATTAGAGCTGAAGCAAACAGATTAATCATGATTAATTGATTCTTGAAATAATTATCAACTAATTCAGTGATCGAATAATCGTTAACTGGAGTATAGAGACTGTAAAATATGCCTTTAGCTGACAGAGCGACCCACTCAGAGCAGGAATTATGTCAAAATTGTAAAAAAAAAAAAAATGTATAAACATTTTGCTTTTAAGATTAAAAAATAAAATAAAAAATCTAATCAGCCCTATCCAGAACTCCTCCAGTGGAAAAGTTTTAGTTTCACCTGGTTTAATTTCATAAACAATCTTTAAGGGAACTTTGGCTATCTGATTATTAATCGAAAAAAATAATCAACTGATTAATTTATTTGTAAAATAATCATTAGTTGGAGCCCTAATAATAATAATAATAATAATAATAATGTGTTTTTATCTTTATTGTACAGGTTCTTTGTTTTTAAAGATGCTTTAAATGCATTTCTTCTTTTTGAAAAAGTCAAAATCCACCTCAAAGGAGAGTTAAAAATGTAGTCAGATGATTCAGATTTTTTCCGTTTATATCAACCTCTTCTAAAGTGATACCTTGAAATGCTCATTAAATGTCAATAAAAACACATCTAGTTTAACCTTTAGGATTTTTTCCTCCATCTTTCTTCTGTGAAGTGAAAGGTGATCAATAATTAACCCAGCTGCTCTGCATGATGATCAAAGGCACTTAAAATCATCAGAGCTTTCAATCTGTTTAAAGGTGTCCTGCTTGGGTAATCATGGGATTAAATGATTAGCCTGTTTGAAATCAACTGTGGTTTGTCCAATACTGATTATCTGAATAAAGGAAGATTGATTTCACTGCATAATCTTCTGCAGACAGATTGAGGAACTGTTATAGATTCACTCCAGTGCTAAAAATACCTGAAGGGGTTTCAGACCTTCTGTACAAACTCCGAGTCTGAGGTTCACTTTGAGGACTTATAACTCTCCTCACCCTGAAGTTGGACAGAGGATTCAAACTTCTCCTGCGGAGGTGGAACACAGCGGGCCATATGATGTGCTGAAGTGGAGTCAGTCCCATGTTTAAACGTTTCTACTGGAGGCCTACATGACGGCCATAAATAAATGCAGATCATTTGATTAAATCAATAAAACTACAGAGAAACTTCATAGAAATTATTAAAAGTTTGGAGACTTTAATTAAAAAGTGACTCATCTGATAATCACAAGCGGATCCACTGGATTAGGTGAAAAGGTTTGACCCAGATCCCTCCTGACGGCATCATGGGGACTCTATTATACTCCTATACTCCAGCTATGACCTCGTACCTATAATGGTTCCTGTTACCGTCACAGCAGCAGCCGGCAGGGCTTCTGCGATTGGCCGCTGCTGAGGGATGTTCCTGCTGCTTTTATTGGCTCGATCCAACAAGTGGTTCCTGCTCCACAATGTCCCGGCAGCAGATGTTTCTGAGCCCCATTATTGTGGCACGATCCAATAAACGCATCGCTGAACGAAGGGACAGGGACCGATGGGGTTGATCAAAATGGGGAAAATAGCAATGATTGATAAAAACCTTTAACAAAAGGTGTAAACACTAATGGTGCAACGGATCAAAAAGTCACGGTTCGGGTTGTATCGCGGTTTTGAGTCACGGATCGGATAATTTTTCAGAAAAACCAGGATAGAACTTTGCACTCCATTTATTTTGTTGAACACTTAAACTGTTTTATTAATTAAAAAAAACAGGATGTTTATCCAGGTCTTATATGAAATAATAAAATTAAATATATAAAAAATGTTGCAAATGTTGAAAGGGCAATATTATTGCCATTATTGTTAATACATAGTAGACATTTTACTCATTCAGTGATAAAATGTCACAGAGGACGGTATGGGGGGGGGGGTCATTTAAGAGGGGGATGATTTTTTTTTAACATTTCTTTTAAGAAGTGGCATGCCACCCCCCCAAATATTTGCTTGAATACGAGATAAAGTGGTGTCAGAATTAGCAAAATAGACACTTTTCTATCATCTGTACGATATGCATCATCCTATCGCCCAGCCCTAGGTGGCGCTGTGACAGAAACACCATAACTGTCTACAAAATGAGGCGGTGTGCAAAGTAAACACAGCAAGAGAGGTGCCTCAGTCGCTACAGAGGCAGAGATGGAGATATGCCGTCATTGTTCCAGAAAAGAAGCCAAACATAAAACTGTCTTCCTGAAATGTTTCTACTCTGGATCCAAGTTTAAAACACATTTGGTTCTGGGGTTTTTTATCTGTCTCCCAGAACACCAGATCCATCCTGACACATCGCCTAAATCACCAGACGGGCTAAACCTGACCTCATCCCTGTGACACCAAAAAAGTGACCACAGGTCTACAAACATTACAAAAGCTAAAACCACACCGATTCAAAACCACAACAACCTCCTTTCCTCAAGGCTTTAAGCACTAAGAACATAATCTGTGACATTACAACCCGACACAGCTGTATACCACACCTTTTACATAATAATAAACAGACCTATCCAATTGTAATTCTATGGAAAGCTATAATATGATTTCATCAGCTGATAAAAGGGCTTGTTGGTCACGATGTGCAGCAGGGACCTGCTGTTCCTAATGCTGACCTTCAGCAGTTCCCCAGTACCTGGAACATGATCCGGCTCACACTTTGTTCTGACCTCCCACAGCTGAACTCCTGCAGGTGATCCACAGAAGAAATGCTCAACTTTAGCTCAACAGCCATCTTTGTTTGTTAAAATATTTGATTAAAATAAAACATCTGAACAGTTTCTATGGGTGATCCAGGGATTCAACAGGTAGACAGAGTTTAAAAGCTTTAAAAGCTCTTTGGAAAGACAAATGCTCCTTTTTTCTGTAGTTATTCGAAATGATAAATTATAATCAGAGTCTCTACTTAGCTTTTTCAATTTAATAGATACCAAAGATAAGCTCTACGCCTGCCGAAGACACAGACGTCCATCCCCGTGAACACTGGGACGGAACTCAATGGGAAAGGAAAGGATTCTGATTTCAACCGTTGCGTATATTAGCTGCGTATGGCCGAAAAAATTGATTGATAAATGAGCGTTGATATATGATTGGCCGTATTTAGGTGTTCAGGCTGACGTAGAACTAACTGGCCTGCAGAAGTTAATGAAAAAAACCCACAGATTTTAAGACAGGATTTTTTTTTTAAACAGTAACTTTCTCAAGTCTGGGACAATATAGTCTGATAAAGAGTACATCTATATACATATTTAGACCAGAATGATTTGACATTTAAATATGACTTCCCTACGACTTTATATTTGATGTTAATAGCTCAGAAGGATCATTCAGCACCATGTTGTTAAACCCTTAGCCTTCCTGTTATCTGCTGAAAGTCTCACTTTCTCCCTGGTAAGATTCATAAATGACATGTCGACTTTTTAAAAAAAATACTGCTTCCTTTTCCTACAGCCCCTTCAAATCTATGACAGCCTTCAACACTTCTATCATAAAGAACATTTTCTGCACAAAAAAGGCAAATGTTCAACCTGACATCAAAGAGCATTTCTTTAACTTTTAAACGGGGGGGGGTGAAAATGGCTGCAATGCTTGTTTTTAAAATGGAAACATCATTTTATTTAATGTTGTGATGTCATCTCATAGGGATATTTTCTAGGGAACACAAGCCAGTGGTATTTTATTATTCTGATTCTCATTAAAACCACACTCTAGCGCAGTGTGACATTAAAAAGTAATCTGATTACTTTATTAAATTTTAATTTTATCAGTTGACTAAAATAAAGGAATTCAACATGTCAGACCCTTTTTCCTGGGTTTCAGTTTCACCAGCAGCAAAGTAACATTTTCTCCACAGGTTTCCTCTCATCCCAGTATAATTCACACCGGATCCGTTTGGCTAACCCTAGCTGACGGTGGTTTCCACCAGTGGTTGGGCTGAACGTTAGCAGACCCCGGCCCCAAATCGGCTTTACCCCCCAGCTACGCCCCTGACGTTTCAGACTTTGGGGGAAAAAAAGCGAAGTTGTTCTTATCAGAAACATCCAGCTAACGTCTAACACCAAAAATGGCGTTAGTGCCTAAACCTCTGCACGTTTAGCTGCCGGTAAACCGAGCTTCCTGACCCCTAACGTTAACGGAGTGAGTTCGCTAAGGCTCCGGTTACCGTCCGTCTGCCGGAGCCTCGGCGGATTCTCCCCCCAACACCCACCGGGTTCAGTCGACAGTAAAACTGTCCGGCTCTTTTACCTGACATTGCTCTTGGTCTGGACTTCCCGGCTCGCTGTGCTCGGTAGCTGCCTCAGGTATTCCGCTACTCTCCGTAAGCAGCGGCCGCCTCTCGCCATCTTCTTTCTTTGACGGTTTCTTCTTCTTGTTTCGCCTCCTGCTACAAGTTCACAGGCGTACAGCGGTGGTATGCTAGCCACGTTCACGTCACCTCCATTCACCGATGCCATTGGCCAGCCCGCATCCGCTGAGCTTTGTGATTGGTCAGACAAACAAATCGTCATAAGAGGGTACTGACGTTTGTGGGTGCGCGTGCGTGTGCACGACAGTCACGAGATGCTGGCTCCGGTTTCAGTGTGTACGCACGCAGGCTCCGTGTTTTCAGAAAAACACGCACACACGAAACTTTGGTGGCCTACTTAAAACCTGAAAAACTCCTCCCGCCGCCACATCTGCCCTGTAGATGACTGACGCTTTAGTCCTGGTTCTATGGCGGCCATGTCAAGGTGGATGGGCTCTGGATCCTTTCATCAGAAAGTCCTGCTGTGACTTTTTGGTCATTTGCTCTGTTATCTATCCCTCTCTATCTTAGGGCCACTGAAAAAAAATAAAAATTAACAGATTTTTAAATTTTATTTCAGTTTAGTATGGGGAAAAAAGTCA